TCCCATGAAGAAGCATCAGAAGCAGTATCGACAGTTCTTGGCCGAGATAGGGCCGGAAGCGTTCAAGAGACCCTTGCTAACCCATCGCAACGCGATAACCACGGGTTGGAAAAGAGTTTGCAGAGCGTCTCGAGATAACACCAAAGCGAGGGAATCGATATTAGAAGAGGAATTAGCGAAGAGCCTGAGTTTGCACAATTCCTTTTGCATGAATAAGGAATATACAGTGAAGGGTCTGTAGAATCAGACGAAAAGACTACAATAGCAAAGGGAGTGGATGCGGGACGACGAACATCTGAAGGCATGGGAAGAGATCGTAATCAGTTCCGATGACAAAGAAGAGCTGGCAAGGCAGAGTACGATGTCAAATGTGTCAGGACCCAGTACCTCGAAGAAAAGGGACACGAACTGAAGAGGGTTTTCAGGGATTGAGTGGGAAAAAAAAGGAATTGAGTGTGAACCCAGATGAAATCTGAGGGCACGGAAAAGAAATTTTAAGAAAAAATTATTGTTACTTAGTATATTATATCTACTATATAAATCAAAATGCTAAATGACAATTGTTTGAATGGGTAAAACAAAAGAAATTTTAATCATTAGCTTACGAAGTGGAAACTCGTTGGAAGTGTATGCAGATTTTGATTGCTGTTAGTGATAATGTGACAACTTTGCATGGTAGTGAATTTTGGGATATAGATAAAGTTAAATCAGCTGCAGACTTCTGTAAATGACCACTGGCAGTGTATCTTGAGACGCACTTAACATTATGGGGGCTCACTGACAGACGACGACACGCGATGAGGACATCGATTTTGAGTCCGGGGAGTATGTGCCGGTCGGTCATATTTGGAAGTTTGACCTTTAGAAAACGTTTAGTCTTGACTTTGGGGTGAAATGAAATTTTTCAAAAACTCGATTTGATCATGTCATGCTCAACTTTCTCGCGACAACTAAAAAAATCTGAAAAATAAGATCAGAAGATTCGCACTACAATTGCGGAAAAAGTAGTCAAAAACAGCAGCGGAAAATTGCTTTTCGCAATTTCCGATACATAATTCGAATAAGAGCAGAGCTGTATTATTCTTTGCAGAAGGCGGAAAGTGATAGAGAAGAAATAATTCAGAGTGGACAAGAGTGAACTTTCGGTGGAAAGGTGGACTTAATTATTCAATCAATTCTAGAGTTACTTTTTGATTTAGTTACTCGATTCTAGAGGTCGTGTCGGTATATGAGTACTTAATTTAGTTTTCTTGAGTGTGTTTTATGTTGTTATGTTGAGTTAGGGAGAGTTTTAAAGGTTGATCCATCTGAAATGGATCAAAAGTCCACTGTCTAATAAAAAGTAACTATACATAAGGTTCCGACCCTGTTTTCAACGGCGTTCGCGTATTTTAATATTTAGAGACTTGAGTGTGGTTATAGGGCCTATTTTTCCTTAACATCATATTTGAGTTAAGTAGGCGACTGTTACAGCATTTGACTTATCGAGTTGCAGCATTAGGCGCGGACGCTTTCGAAGGAGAATCACTGATTATCGCCAAAATCCACAATGACGTAGTTGAATCTGGCGGAAAAAGAATGAGATATCTAATTGAATTTCTGGACAATACGAACAAAACTACGCTGGATAG